TTTTTTTTTTTTTTTTTGTCTTTTGTGTTGGGTTCCCCTAAAGTTCATACCAGATTCAAAGTGTCTCACATGGATTCTGACCTCCTGTCTTATTTTTTGGATAGAGTTCTGGAATCTGACCACTTGGGCCTTTTAGCTGCTAAAAAGGGAATGTAATGTTTGAACTGGACAGGCCAAGGTTAGTTTTATGTGTTGCTTTATTGCTGTGGACAAGCTAAGTTATTGAATGCTTGTTCTGAGAATTATGTTTTTATGGTGCTTGAGATACAATAAAGCCAGTTGGAACCTACCTGCTGTGGTGACTCTTGGTGCTGCATTTAAGGAGTTAAAACAGGCGGTGAGGAGGCATCATATCACCTCATCACTGTCTGTCAAATGCATCTGAAAAGTCATCCGATCGCAGATTGTTCTTCAAAGTCACGGCAATTTAGCTAGAAGTCTAAACGTAGTCTTAACGTGGACCTGTTAGTAACCTTTTAGGGGTCAGGTACTGAGACTGACATGATCATCTCTGAGCTGGCATCTCAGTCTAGGAAGTAGGCAGTGACCTAGATTTGCCTAGGCTGAAATGATGTCATCAGTCTGCTGCAGGCAGAAGGAAGCATTTCTTCAATCTCTTCTCCCCCGGTGATCAGACTGTACATTGTAACTTTGTAGCAAGTTGAGAGGCTGCAGCAGGGGCTAATTATGTCAAACATTTGTGAACAAGAAATGCGCAGGCACCAGGATTTCTATGACTCATCTGAAAAATGCATCTCAGTCTGGAAAGTGGACAATGACTTGGAATGATGCCTGAACCAAAAATGTCTCCATTCTTCTGGAGAGAAAAGCAGATGGCATTGTCAGGGGAGTACTGTGGTCCCTGTGAAAGGTAATAAATACCTGGAAATGGTACACATTACAAAGCATGCACTTATGAACTAATATATCTGGTGCCATTATACTGAAATTGGCCTGCCGTCTACAGTGCTCAATAGCTGAAGCTTAAATTTACACACAACTGAATGGACCACCTGAATAGCTTATCTATGCATCTGCCTGCTATACTCCTATATCAGGGTAAGGAACTTTATTGATAGTGGGACTGATTTATTAATTAAGTTAATAGAAAGAATAAAAACCTTCTGTGCTCTCAAGACCGGATCTGGCATGTGTGGAGAGATCTTTGGGAATTATTGTATTCTATTCAATTCGGTCTGGCAAAGCCGTGCAGCCCCCTGAGGGCTGGGGAAGCGCAAAGAGCAGCTGGAAGATAATAAAAAGAAAAGGGCGCACAAGCCTAGCGCATTACCTCACACACAAATCTTTTATTTGGAAGTAACAGATGTATACTTACAAACGCCAAGTAAAAACAAGCATGTCACGACCAGGGGCGGACTGACAACTCATGGGGCCCCCGGGCAATAGGGGATCATGGGGCCCCTGTGTCCTTGCCCAAACTAAAACAAAGCCTATGAAAAAGGTACCAGGGGCATCTCATGGGATCTCCTAATGACCCCGGGCCCTCGGGCAGTGCCCAAGTTTCCAAATGGTCAGTCCGCCCCCGGTCATGACCCTCAATGGTCCATAGTCCGGAGTACTGTGCGAGTCCCATACACAGAGATGGACATTCAGAGCAATCGGCTCTGAGGAAGAGGGGATCCCCCCTCAAAACGCATCAGCCATGCTCTGAATGTCCATCTCTGTGTATGGGACTTGCACAGTACTCCGGACTATGGACCATTGAGGGTCATGACCAGGGGCGGACTGACCATTTGGAAACTCGGGCACTGCCCGAGGACCCGGGGTCAGTAGGGGGCCCATCAGATGCCCCTGGTACCTTTTTCATAGGCTTTTTTTAAGTTTGGCAAGGACACAGGGGCCCCATGATCCCCTATTGCCCAGGGGCCCCATGAGTTGTCAGTCCGCCCCTGGTCGTGACATGCTTGTTTTTACTTGGCGTTTGTGAGTATACATCTGTTACTTCCAAAAAAAAAAAAAAAAAAAAAGTGTGTGAGGTAATGCGCAAGGCTTGTGCGCCCTTTTTTGTTTCTCATCTTCCACTGACTAATGCAGGCCATACATGGGTCGAATTCTGAACGATTTTTCATCTGAAAAAATCGAAAACATCATTCGCTTGGTAATCCAATGGCGCCATCAATAATTTCGAAAATCAGCCGACCAAGTCATAAAGTTCACCCCACATAACCGGCAAAACTTCTGTTCCTTCCAGGTCACGGCTCATGCGCATATTCTTTTTGGAAAAACGAGCGTACGATTTGACCATAGAGTCAAAAATAGGTAAGTTTTTCACGAATTTTCCAACATGCCCGATCACCGAAAAAAGGAGGAACCACGAAAATTGGCCGGTGCCATTGACCCACTAACAGCGAAAATCAGGCAATTATTCTTGGGTCCGATTTTGGGACAAAAAAAAAAAAATCAGTTGAATTTCGACCCATGTATGTCCAGCATTACTAAAACAGGAGAGTGAAAATCTGGCGCAGCTCTGCACAGAAACCAATCAGCTTCCAGGTTTTTTTTTTGTCAAAGCTTAAATTGAACAAACTGAAGTTAGAAGCGGATTGGCTATCATGCACAGCTGCACCAGACTTTGCACTCTCCAGTTTTAGTAAATCTACATGGATTAAATTTGTATTCATTCTCTCTCTATGTGTGTGTATATATACAGTGTATATATAAAATATATAGATATAGATATATATAAATAAAATGTATATATCTCTAATATATATATATACAGTCAGGTCCATAAATATTGGGACATCGACACAATTCTAACATTTTTGGCTCTATACACCACCACAATGGATTTGAAATGAAAGGAACAAGATGTGCTTTAACTGCAGACTGTCAGCTTTAATTTGAGGGTATTTACATCCAAATCAGGTGAATGGTGTAGGAATTACAAGTTTGCATATGTGCCTCCCACTTGTTGTGGGACCAAAAGTAATGGGACAATTGGCTTCTCAGCTGTTCCATGGCCAGGTGTGTGTTATTCCCTCATTATCACAATTACAATGAGCAGATAAAAGGTCCAGAGTTCATTTCAAGTGTGCTATTTGCATTTGGAATCTGTTGCTGTCAACTCTCAAGATGAGATCCAAAGAGCTGTCACTATCAGTGAAGCAAGCCATCATTAGGCTGAAAAAACAAAACAAAACCCATCAGAGAGATAGCAAAAACATTAGGCGTGGCCAAAACAACTGTACGGAACATTCTTAAAAAAGAAGGAACGCACCGGAGAGCTCAGCAACACCAAAAGACCCGGCAAGAGAATGCAAGAAGACCACGGAAAACAACTGTGGTGGATGACCGAAGAATTCTTTCCCTGGTGAAGAAAACACCCTTCACAACAGTTGGCCAGATCAAGAACACTCTCCAGGAGGTAGGTGTATGTGTGTCAAAGTCACCAATCAAGAGAAGACTTCACCAGAGTGAATACAGAGGGTTCACCACAAGATGGAAACCATTGGTGAGCCTCAAAAACAGGAAGGCCAGATTAGAGTTTGCCAAACGACATCTAAAAAAGCCTTCACAGTTCTGGAACAAAAAGACATCCTATGGACAGATGAGACCGACATCAACTTGTACCAGAGTGATGGGAAGAGAAGAGTATGGAGAAGGAAAGATTAGAGGAACTGCTCATGATCCTAAGCATACCACCTCATCAGTGAAGCATGGTGGTGGTAGTGTCATGGCGTGGGCATGTATGGCTGCCAATGGAACTGCTTCTCTTGTATTTATTGATGATGTGACTGCTGACAAAAGCAGCCGGATGAATTCTGAAGTGTTTCGGGAATATTATCTGCTCATATTCAGCCAAATGCTTCACAACTCATTGGACGCTTCACAGTGCAGATGGACAATGACCCAAAGCAGACTGCAAAAGCAACCAAAGAGTTTTTTTTAAGGGAAAGAAGTGGAATGTTATGCAATGGCCAAGTCAATCACCTGACTTGAATACGATTGAGCATTTTCACTTGCTGAAGACAAAACTGAAGGGAATATGCCCCAAGAACAAGCAGGAACTGAAGACAGTTGCAGTAGAGGCCTGGCAGAGCATCACCAGGGATGAAACCCAGCGTCTGGTGATGTCTATGCGTTCCAGACTTCAGACTGTAATTGACTGCAAAGGATTTGCAAACAAGTATTAAAAAGTGAAAGTTTGATGTATGATTATTATTCTGTCCCATTACTTTTGGTCCCTTAACACAAGTGGAAGGCACATATGAAAACTGTTGTAATTCCTACACCGTTCACCTGATTTGGATGTAAATACCCTCAAATTAAAGCCGACAGTCTGCAGTTAAAGCACATCTTGTTCGTTTCATTTCAAAACCATTGTGGTGGTGTATAGAGCCAAAAATGTTAGAATTGTGTTGATGTCCCAATATTTATGGACCTGACTGTATATATATATATATATATATATATATATATATATATATATATATATATATATATATATATATATATAAAACAAAGTTCTACAACATTAGTATAAAAACCTTACAATGAATAAATAAAAATTTCCAAAGCCATTAACATTTCCCTTTAAAAACACATCTCAGGACAATTGTAAGATAAAAAGCATTTATTCCAAAGGAAAAAAAACAAAAACATCATTTCATATATCACGTACACAAGCGTCTATGGAGCTACAATCACAATCTAAAGTCCTGTACACAGGAGAGTCGGGATTTTTTATGTCATCGTAAATACTTATAAATAGGAGTCCATAGAGGAACCTGCGTCTTGTCCCGATTGGATAGCTCCTGGCTAAATGGCTTTGCCGTTAATCAGAGACAGACTGGAGGTAGAGTTCCGCCTGTAGAACCTAATGGCCGGGGTGCTCCAAGGAAGGAGCGCTCTTCCTACACACACAAAGGGAACAGCTAGCTGACGACGGTTTCTGCCGGATTCTATGTAGTAAGCCGTGCGTCTCCGAGATGGCGTTTCTCCAGAAGACGTCTGCTACAAATCCGGCTCCGAGACTCTCAGTTCTCTTCCCCTTCGGATTCCGATTCTGCAATGGAAACACTGTATCAGTATTCTTACTTACTGTGATAAAAAAAAAAAAAAAGAGACCCCGTCACCAACTTAAAAAAAAGCAGAAAAATAAAGTAGTCCATTCAAACCACATGTGCTGGCACAATTCTCAACGCATGTCAATGCAATGACCTGGTGCATGAGTGGCAGTAGCGGTGCGTCACAATGGTTTGCGGTAGGAGAAAAAACAAGTAGAGCAAGCAACGCAACACAGCACGTGGTTAATGCAGGTCAGTGCAGCGCAATAAACAGTAAAATCAGCAGGTCAGTTCTGACGTCGCCGTTCCACGTCCACCTTGTCCAGTAAGAGGATGTCTTGCATTCACTGAGTAAAATGTAAATGGTGCTTGTGCAGAGTGTGCAATACCTTGAGCCCAGGTTCATATATGTGCGGTATATCGCATGTGATTCGCACAGGAACTGCACTGCATTCCTGTACAAATCACATGCGATTTGTGTGCGGTGCGATTGGAGCCATACATTTCGTATGGCTCAATTCGCACCGTACCCACACCAAAAACGTGCAGGATCCTTTCTTGGGTCTGCACTAGAATCAAATCGCATGGGTATTCACACCTATGCGATATGATTTTGCACATCGAGTTTTGCGGACTGCTTTTGGGGTGTTGTTAACATTCACCCCCGCAGCGGTTCGCATGAACGGGGTGCGATTCTGATGCGGTGCAGAATTCGCACTGAAAACAAATTCCTTACTGCATCAGTGTGAACCCGGGATAAGGGATACTTTCTAAAACTGGGGCACACAAAATCTGGTGCACCTGTTCATGGCAGCCAATCAGCTTCTAACTTCAGTTTGTATAATTAAGCTTTGGCAATAAAACCTGGAAGCTGATTGGTTTCTATGCAGAGTTTTTATTTTTTAATATAAAACATATCCAATAAAAAAAAATGTTAGAATTCAAAAATTCATAAATTTAGGCCAAAATTTATTATGCTGCATGTTTTTGATAAAAATAAATCCCAATAAGTGTATATTAATTAGTTTGCGCAAAAGTTATAACGTCTACAAATTATGAAACCTACTGGATTTTTAACAATTTTTTTTTTTCAACTAGAAATTGCAGCGATCAGTGACTTCCAGCGGGACTACAATACTGTGGCGGACATTTTTACACTGACACTTTGTGGGAACCAGTGACAATAATACAGTGATCAATGCTAAAAATATGCACTGATCACTGTACTAATGACACTGGTTGGGAAGGGGTTAACATCTAGGGTGATCAAAGGGTTAAGTGTGTGCCTAGCTATGTGCTTGCTGTACACTAGGTGGTGCTGGTAGGAGAGGAAGTGATGGATCGTGTTCCCAAGCCACTGCTCTGTGTGTCCATTCACACATGGAGCTGTGGCTTGGCCTCGCCCCTCTCTCATTGGCTGACTGTCTGTGACTGACAGCAGCGGGAGCCAATAGCTCTCATGTGCTGTTTCAGCTAATGAGGAGGCTTAGACCCGGGACAGCCGAGGCTGTTGTGCACATCGACGGATCGCGGTCGGGCTCAGTTAAGTATTGAGGAGGCTGGAGGCACTGCTGCACACAGAAGGTAAAAAACCCTTGAGCCTTTACAACCACTTTAACCATTTGCCTCCGCCCTATGGCCAAATGGTGGCAGGCAAATGTCATCAGCGTTCCGGGTGGACGCCATATGGCGTCCTCCTGCACATGCGCAGATTGCGCTCCTGCAGAGCCGCACAGTGGCGCGATCTGTCACCGGCCGTGTACCTCGGACACGGCCGATGACAGATCTGAGTACCGGCCCCCGTTGCCAGTACCATGTGACCTGCTGTGACCAATCACAGCAGGTCACATGATAGTTATATACAATGGATGGCTTCATTCATGCCATCCATTGTATACTAGTGTCTAGCTGTGAATGGTCACAGCAGGTCACATGCACATGTCATGTGATTAGCTGTGGCCAAATCACAGCTAAGCACAAAAAAAAAAAAAAAAACGAAAACCCTGAATGAATCGATGTCATTCAGGTAAATGCTTGCTTATAGCAAAGTAATTCTTTGCTATAAGCAAATTCTGTAAAAAAAAAAAAAAATACTGATCACTTCCCCAAAGTAGTACAATGTTACTATGGTAACATTGTACTACTTTGGTCATAGTGAAATATGAAAAAAAAATCTTAAAAAAAAAGAAAAAAAATGTAATAAAAAATAAAAAAAAATATATATTTTTTTTTCCATACTGTCATTAGTCAGTGTCCCTGATCACCGCCATGCCAGTTATATGATGACGCTGTACTGCACTGGTGACAGTATGTAAAAAAAAAAAAATAGTCAAACTAATTTTTTTAATTTTTTTATTTTCCGAAAAATGACAAAAAAAATACAACTTCAAAAACATTCCTCTTATGAAGTACATCGGATTGTCTACTCTGCAAAAAGGGGTCATTTCTGGGGGATATCTGTACTATTCTGACTATTCTGACATTTGGGGGATATCTGTACTGTCCTGACACATTCTTGGACCTCAAGAAATTAGATTGGCTGTCAGTACTTCAGGATTGATCAATATTCAGATCTATACCATAGTTTGTGAACTCTATAACTTTCCTACAAACTAAAAAATACATCCTAATTTGGGTTATTTTCACCAAAGACATGTAGCAGAATACATCTCGGCCTAAATTTATGAAGAACAATTATTTATTTGCAAACTTTTAGAACAGAAACAAAGAAAAATGTGTGTTTTTTTTCAACATTTTTGTTTTTTTTTTGTTAATTTAGCAAAAAATAAAAACCCCAGCGGTGATTAAATACCACCAAAAGAAAGCTCTAGTTGTGTGAAGAAAATTATAAAAATTTTAGTTTGGGTACAATGTTGTATGACCGTGCAATTGTCATTCAAAGTGTGAGAGCGCTGAAACCTGTAAACTGGCCTGGGCAGGAAGGTGTAAAAGTGCCCGGTATTGAATTGGTTAATGCCGGAACACATTTTTGCAACTTGGACATGTGTTAGTAAAGCCATACATATAGAAACTACTTTGTTCGTCCATGTGGATTATACCACATTTTGTTTAGAAAAAAAACATTGGACTTTCTTTTGGTGATAAATGGTAGGAGATATCGCTTGATTTTTAAAAATCATCATCAAAAGGAAAACTGGCTCCAAAAAAAAAAAAAAAAAAAAAAAAAGTTTAAATTGTATATTTCTTGCCACTACCATAACCTACCACTAAAAAACATTCCCAAAATAAATTCTGCTGCTCCTAACAATCTCAGCGATCCCACCTATGTATGTTATTTGTTGTTTGTACCCGTAATAAGGCCCAGAAACAATAGTGCGCATTTTGCTTCTTTTGTTTTTCCTGACACTAACTAAAATGGATAAGAATTTTAAAAATGTTTTGCCCAAAACAAATGCATGCCATAGACGGGGAGAAAAACATCCAATTTTTCGGTCAAAAAAAAAAAAAAAAATATATTAAAATCGGCCGATTTTCAGATCGTTAGTGGGGTAATCGGTCGGCCATTTTTCGTGATTTTGACTCTTTTTTTCCAACATGACTGACAAAAAAAAAAAGGCCAATTTTGTGGTTCGGTCGATTTTCACGGCAATGATGGACAAATGGGCCGATCTTTTATCTTTTTACCAATTTTAAAAAATGCGCATGAGCAGTGACCAGCAAGAAGGGAAAAGAAGAAATAGAATACGAATAAGAGGAAGAAAAAGAAGAAATAGAATATGAACAAGAAGCAGAAAAAAAAAGAATTTCAGTCTGATATTATATTTGACATTTAAAAGTATAGCAGTATTGTATCTATTTGTATCCGAATAGAAACATCTGTATCCGAAATGGATACGAATAGATACAATGTTGCAACTTTTTCTTCTTCTTATTCATACTCTAGTTCTTCTTTTCTTCATATTCTATTTCTTCTGTCAAATATAATAGCGCAGCTCTCTGCAGGGATACCGCTATTATATTTGCCGGCTGTAGACGGGACGAAAATCAGACGACTTTTTTTTTTACCAATGGCGGTAACATCGGCTGACTGAACGATCAATTTTTCGTTTTTCTAAAAAAAAAAAAAAAAAAAAAAAAAAAAAAACCGTCCGGTTTTCTCCCCATCTATGGCCTGCATTACTGACCCTGACCTTTGACCCTTATTTGACCCAAACACTAACCCTGGAGGTGACCTAGGTCTAACCTTTCTTAATTTAAAAAAAATATATATTTTTTTATTATTATATAATTTTTTTCTCTCTGAATGTAAAAAGATGCAAATTTATCTTTTTTATTCAGAGAGAAAAAAAACCCAACAAACACAGGTCGGGGTGCACAGTGACTGATCACTGTGATAGCCAATCAAGAGGCTATCACAGCAATCAGGTGATCTGGAACTGGGAGTCCCGGGTCCCTATAGTTAGTACAGGACCTGGGGCTCCAGGTGACAGCCGGGTCTTTGTGCTGGGAGTACATTGTGTGGCACGCTCCCAGCACAAAGACAGATAATCATATATGCAACCCCACAGAAAAAAGCCCAGTTCTGAGAGGCTGCATATATGTGTACAGTCAGCAGGAAGGGGTTACAAAAAAATGTCAGGTTTTTTTTTTTTTTTTTGTTTGTGGACAGCTCTTCTTGGGTCCTTCGCTGCCGCTCTTGGCTTCTCCAATCACCACCATAGGAAGCCGCTTCCTATGGGAGCTCAGGTGTAGACTCACTTCCAAGCAGGGCTATGCAAGTCCATAGACTCACACAGAGTGGTTTAGCCCCACCCCCATTCTCTGCTCAGAGGATTTGATTGAGAGCAGCAGGGACCAATGGCTCCTTCTGTTGCCTCTTTGTCCTTTGAATGCAGGGAGAGAGCCGCTAGAGATGGCGACAGCACTGGATCGAGTGAGGTAATTATAAGGGGGGAGGGGGCCATACAATCACTGGGACATTTTTTCCCTAATGCAGGGAATGTATTCAGGTAAAAAAAACACTTTAATTTTGTCAGGAACTAAAATCACTAAAGTGTGGGGGAGAAGACGCGTAGGGATCGATCTAACAGCGGAGGATCAGGCAAGTAAATGTTTTGTATCTCTCCGAGACCTAAATGAGCAATTACAGCGCAGGCACTGCCCCACCGCAACAGAGACGTTTCCATTTCCTGGGCTCAGGCTTTAATCAAATTGTAAACCTCAAACATGAAATATAAACAAAGTAAATTCCTCTATAGTGTGTACTTGTCTCAATCCAGAGCACGAAGTGTCATTTAGGTCGGTTACCTCCTTCTTCTGCTATCAGCAAGAATCAGTTTGGACAAGTTTTCCTGACATCAAGTGATAAAAGAGGTAACAGAGAAGGGAGCTCCAGCACACAGTCTGTGATTGACAGCTTCAGCTCTGTTCCTTTGTGCTGTGCAAAGGGGGTGGGGGGTGTTCCTTCCCTCCAATCAGCTATCAGTGTAACTACAGCTCCCCGCCCCTTTCTTTCTGAAATCTCAGACAAGCTGTATAATTTCTGCACTTTGAACTAATGTAGAGAAGAGAGTGCTACAGATGAACAGGTAAAACTTATGCAAGTCTAGACGCTTCACTGGGTATATGTGAGGGTTCACAACCCCTTTAAAGGGGGTGGGCCTTCTAAAACTGCTAGAACATTCCTCTTTGTGGGAAAACACACACACAAGTGAGCTGTGAATACATGGAATGACAGGGGCAGCTTTTTTTCATTACCTTCCTCTGCGTTTTGCAGCCACTCCACAAATTTCTTCATCTGGTCAAGAAAGACACTTTTGCCCTTGGCCAGGTGGGCTTCCTTGTACCACTTCAATATGGCTTCTTCCCCCAGAACATCGGCTGCAAGACAAGACCACCTTTAGCTTTATGCTGCACTCGCAGAAGAATACAACGTATAGATTTTTTATTTGCTATAATTTGTTTCCCCATGAAAGCAGAGTTCCCTTTAAGGCCCAGTTCACACTCCATGTGTTTCAGTTGCTTTTTTTCTGCAACCAAAACACACAAAAAGTAGGTGATGTGGTTGTCAATGTCATAGTTCACATCAGTGCTTGCAGTTCCAGTGCGTTCCGGGTGCAGAAGAAAAAAAAAAAAAAAAGTAGAGCATGCTGCATTTTTTCTGCACAGAACTGTACTGGAATGCAGTAGAACGCATCAAAAACACACCGGAACCAGGGGCGGACTGACAACTCATGGGGCCCCCGGGCAATAGGGGATCATGGGGCCCCTGTGTCCTTGCTTAAACTTAAAAAAGCCTATGAAAAAGGTACCAGGGGCATCTGATGGGGCTCTCTACTGACCCTGGGCCCTCGGGCAGTGCCCGAGTTTCCAAATGGTGAGTCCGCCCCTGACCGGAACACACATGTCCCGATTTAAATGTATTTATTTATTTCAGGTACTTATATATCGCTGTCAATTTATGCCGCGCTTTACATATATATTGTACATTCACATCAGTCCCTAACCCTCAAGGGGTGTACAATCTAAGGTTCCTAACAGGGGTGGACTGACCATTTGGAAACTCGGGAACTGCCCGAGGGCCCGGGGTCAGTAGGGGGCCCCATGAGATGCCCCGGTACCTTTTTCATAGGCTTTTTTTTGTGACATCATTGCTTGCTACGTGTGAAATCTGTGAATGATCACAGAGGTCACATGGTACAGGGCTATTCACAACAGCCATGTACCATGTGACAAGCTGTGACCAATCACAGCTCACTCAGTACTTCTCAATGAGTGCAAGAATGCAGACAGAGAAAAGAGAAATGATTGCTCTTACATCCTATATGGACGTAAAAGCAATTCATGTAAGAAAAAAAAAAAATCTTCATCACCCCCAAGTAGTACAGTGTCACCATGGTGACACTGTACTGCTAGGGTGACAGTATGTAAAAAAAAATAAAAAATAAAAAAAAATAAAATAAAAATGTAAAAAAAAAAATGTTTTAAAATTATAATTTTTGGTTATAAACTAATTTGGATTTTTTTTTTGTTTACTAAAAAGATAACGGAATAAATTTTGGCCAAGATTTATGATGAAATATTATTTATTTGCAAAATTTTAAAAAAAAAAATACTTTTTTTTTTGTAAATTTTTGGACTTTTTCATTTACATAGCAAAAAAAAATAAAAATCCCAGCGGTGAATAAATACCACCAAAATAAAGCTTTACCTGTCTCAAAAAAATTTTAAATTCATATGGGTACAGTATTGCATGACCGCGCAATTGTCATTCAAAGTGTGATAGCGCTGAAAGCTGAAAATTGCCCTGGTCAGGAAGGGGGTAAAAGTGTCCGGTCTGGAAGTGGTTAATGAATGCAAGGCATTCTCTGATAAAAAGGAGGTGGAGATCATGACTTCCTCTTCACCTTGTCCAATCAGAGAGCACTTTGCTCAGGCACCATTCAGAGAATTCTTTGCATTTTCTTAATTGGTGCAAAGTGAGCGACCTCCTGCGTTTAAAATGTAGCTGCTCCGCACAGGACCTGGAAACTAGTGGAGATCACAGAGCAGTGATTCCTATATAGCGATTTCCAGCTTCCTCCAGGATCCCACAGCTAGGGCACATACATACTTGCATAGCTACATTCTTCCAGCTTGGACCAATGTAAAAATATCCATACCCGGTATTCAGCTTTAAAAGGGAACTTTCATGGAAAATAAAAAACTAAATGAAAAAGATTAATATAGAAAGTGCCGGGACAATGTCATCTAGCGCCCACACGGCACCCCCCAAAAATATATGAGCATCATGTATCAGGAAAAATCCCCTTCCAAAAATTCAAGCACTATAGGGGTGCTATATATTATTATTATTATTATACAGGATTTATATATTATTATTATTATACAGGATTTATATATTATTATTATTATTATACAGGATTTATATATTATTATTATTATACAGGTTTTATATATTATTATTATTATACAGGATTTATATATTATTATACAGGATTTATATATTATTATTATTATACAGGATTTATATATATTATTATTATACAGGATTTATATATTATTATTATTATACAGGATTTATATATTATTATTATTATACAGGTTTTATATATATTATTATTATATACAGGATTTATATATAATATTATTATTATACAGGATTTATATATAATATTATTATTATACAGGATTTGTATATATATTATTATACAGGATTTATATATTATTATTATTATTATACAGGATTTATATATATTATTATTATACAGGATTTATATATAATATTATTATTATACAGGATTTTGTATATATTATTATTATACAGGATTTATATATATATTATTATTATTATTATTATACAGGATTTATATGGCGCCAACAGTTTGCTCAGCACTTTACAATATAACGGGAGACAATACAGCAACAATACAGTTCATTACAAGAGGGATAGGAGGGCACTGATCCTGGGAGCTTACAATCTAAGAACGAAGCATTGGGGCCCTGCACTAGAGATGCCTCTGGCTGTCAGAGTGCAACTGTGAGGCATTTGCTTGCTTGCCCCCTACCCATGTTCTTTGGTGGAAGGAGATGGGGGGCAGATAAACAAACACTGCACATTGGTGATCCGGCAGTCCCGATCCAGCAGCACAGACAGGAGGAGCTGGAAGGGAGAGAGAGCACAACCCACCCCTCCACCTGGCTCTCTCCTCCTCTCCTGATTTGGCTCATCTCCTCCAGCGTTAAGCTGACAGGAGTAGTGAATCTGCCGCCACTACTCCTGTCAGCTAGTAGGTAGGAACACTTCATGCGGTGCCCCCCACCCCACCTCACATGACCCCACCTCACATGAAACCACCTTACCCAAGGCAGCCATCCCCTCTCACCCACCCCTTGTCCCAGACCTGAATACAGCATAGACGATTGCTAGGCACGTCGTAATGTAACTAAAAATTCCCTTTCCTTTTCAATCTGCAGCACTATAATTTTCTGTAAAATGCAATATGGCAACCTGGAGGTGTTTTGTGCACAGATGGTATACAGGACGCCCCCCAGAAATGTAATTTCCTGCTTGTGCAATTGGCTCACTGATTTTCCCAGAAGTCTGCACTAAGATTCAAGTCAGATTTTAGGCATCCTCTGCAACAAAAATGTCATTTTTGGTGAGATACTCTCAAAAAGAAATCACATCTAAAGGGGATGCAGACCCTGCCACTTTAGATCACTGCAAGTGCAGCAGCCGATTGAGAACTATAAAATCACTTCCTTTCTCATTCACTTTCCACATGGACACAGAGAAACAAACAGCAATTTCTTCAGAATAACAAAAGGTAGGAATCTGCAACAATAAGTTTGTTAAAATCCCTGCAATGTACAGAGATCACCCAGAAGGGAAGGTTTATTTCTAACAAAATGTGGAGTTATTTCTGAATACAGAGCGACATTAGTGCCATATCTGCCTGGAGCTCCACTTTAATGCTATCGGTTGTTTCTCTTGTCAGAGAAATGATTGTGGAGGCGACAGAAATTCAATACACAGAAGCCGATTACCTTTGTAAAAGAGAACAACAATCTTCTGAAAGGCTTTCATGAAGTGGATGTTGTCATAGCAGTACTCCTGGACCTTCTGAAGAAGCACGAGCTCCGACTGGCCTTGTGTGCTGAAAACAGCCAGCAGTGGCGCATATTGCTGCAAAGACAAGGAGGTATGTGAGCATCTGTCTCTATCCCATAATACAATCAGGCCCGCTGGTTCTGTTCCAGCATTATACAACCAAGCAAAAAACTCTGCATACAAAACGGAAGAAGATCAGTTTGGTCTGACATCCTATAGGATGGTAAAAAAAAAAAAAAAAAAAAAATTACAAAAACGGCCTTTAGTATTTGACCATTTCCCTTTACAGGTCTTTACTTTCTGGCCTACACTTGTAGCATGCATTTAGTCTCTGACCATCTCCGGTTACATGTCTGCACTCTCTGGCCTACACTCTAGCATGCACTTACACCATCTCCGTTAGCTGCACTCTCTGCCTACACTTGTAGCTTTAGTCTCTGACCATCTCCGTTACATGTCTGCACTCTCTGGCCTACACTTGTAGCATGCACTTAGTCTCTGACCATCCCCGGTTACATGTCTGCACTCTCAGACCGACACTTTTAGCATACTCTTACTCTCTGACCATCTCCAGTTACTTGTCTGCACTCTCTGACCTACACTTGTAGCATGCACTTAGTCTCTGACCATCCCCGGTTACATGTCTGCACTCTCAGACCGACACTTTTAGCATACTCTTACTCTCTGACCATCTCCAGTTACTTGTCTGCACTCTCTGACCGACACTTGTAGCATGCACTTAGTCTCTGACCATCCCCGGTTACATGTCTGCACTCTCAGACCGACACTTTTAGCATACTCTTACTCTCTGACCATCTCCAGTTACTTGTCTGCACTCTCTGACCGACACTTGTAGCATGCACTTAGTCTCTGACCATCCCCGGTTACATGTCTGCACTCTCAGACCGACACTTTTAGCATACTCTTACTCTCTGACCATCTCCAGTTACTTGTCTGCACTCTCTGACCGACACTTGTAGCATGCAATTAGTCTCTGACCATCCCCGGTTACATGTCTGCACTCTCAGACCGACACTTTAAGCATACTCTTACTCCCTGACCATCTCCAGTTACTTGTCTGCACTCTCTGACCGACACTTGTAGCATGCACTTAGTTTTTTTTTTTTTTTTTGCTTTTTTTCTTTGCACGTTAATTTTGGAGCTTCAGTGGGTGCATTGGACACCCTGGCTGCCGTTGTGCTACATGCTGGGTGTCAGGTGCGCTCCCATGACCTTAATGAGGGGTGGGGGTGGCTCCCTCAGGTTCACCTGCCCTTGTTTCTATCCATTTAAATGCATGTGCCTCCATTGTGAGGACTCTCAAGATTTATAGAGTTAGGACCACAGATGCTCAGGGTGCCGTGATGTGGCTCTGTGGCTTACGTATGTATTTGCAAACGTGTGCTAACTAAACCCCTGTTTTTAAACGCATGTTCTTAGACAGATTCATTTGGATTTTGATAGTTGGCTAACTGTCTAGCAGTTTGAACTGGCTTTCTTATCCCCCTCTTTTGATAACTTATACCTATCCATGTTCCTTGCTGACAATATCCAATATTAGACTGGGGTAGGCTGGCAAGTTGAACTGGATAGTCCTATTTTTTACAGCATGCACTTAGTCTCTGACTTGTAACTGGAGATGGTGAGAGTGGGGTGGGTGCACAGACATCCGACAATCTCAGAAATGTCAAATACTATTAACCTCCCTGGCGGTATGATTATTTCTGATTTTTTTGTGCTGAAAGCGGTACCCATTTTTTTGCATGGAAATATGTATTTTTTTTATTGTAGGCTGTAATTTTTAGGAATAACTCACTGAAATCTGTCCGAACAAGAGTCTAGTAAACATCCCGGGGAGGATAACATTTGAAACACGAAATCATAAATTATAATTTAATAAATAATCATAAAAAATAATAATATAATAATAATACATTTAATTCAATAATATAATCAAACCAAAAACACTGAAATTTGAAATACAGAGGCAAATTCGCACATTGCTGAGCAAAGTCGCAAAATTGATTTCAGTGTCTGATGAGGAATTTCCCCCACGAATCATTATCACTCAATTCTGCAAGTGGTTCTGATTTACTATCGCTGTTCTCTAGCCGGTCTAAAACCGATTTTGACCTAAAGGGACGCTTTTTGGACGCCATGGACGTTTCTCAGTTTCCAGGCAGAAAGAACAGTAAAAATGCAGGCAGGGCGCCGGACAAAGCACTCGGGACAAAATGTATGTGAAATGCATTGAAACAGCAATGTTTTACTATATAATAATCATTTTTAAAAAAATGAAATTTTTAAAAAAATTTCAAATTTGCCGCCGGTTCCGGCGCCCGTACGTCCCAACGTCACAGGGACCGGAACACGGAAGCCGGATGCCGGCATCGGCCGGAGGAGATGGCCGGGGACGCTGCAGGGGACACATAGCGGGAGCGAAGGACAAGGTAAGTGCTGCAGGGACCCCCTGAGCAACGCCGCATGGTAAGCCCGAGTGTAGCTCGGGGTTACCGCTTTTGGTACTGACGTTTAACCCCGAGCTACACTCGGGAATACCGCCAAGGAGGTTAAGAGACTGGTGGAGGCTACAGCACTGGATTGGAGAGATGGTTGGAGACACAGACCACCATGAGATGACCACAAGGGCTTTTCTGTTGCAGAGAACGATTTTTATTTTTATTGTTAGGAAACTGACCAGGCCGATTTATCGTACTTACAATTATCGGCAAGGCTATCGCAACAAACTGATTTCACCGACACATACTGCAATATTTGATACAAAGACACAGACCGGTCCCCCACCTTCAAATGCTTCAAAGCCTGCTCTGCAACCAGCTCTTCTTTCTTGTTCCACTCTACGGCATTCATTATGCAGGTCCACAGGAGCCCGATCACTGCGTGTTCGGCTAATTCGTTCCGTTTCATTTCTTCTTTCAAGTAGAGCACTATCTGCAAACAGCAAGACAGTTCAAGGAAATTATAGGAAGACCAAGAGGAAATCCTGGATGTTACTGAAGCTTCATAAGATGTTAAAGCTGAACTCCTGGGACAAGCAAATATTGTCTAAATTGCATTCATCGATCGTGTGTATTCCTCTCGAATCGCTGTGTGCAGAATCCAGTGTGAGAACTGACCTCTGTACAGGTGGTTCCTGTAATAAAAAACACTCCACTCACCCAATGGCATGAAGCCATTACTTTCTCATTACACATGGAGGAGCTTACTTATAAAACACATGGGATGCCTGATAAAAAAAAAAAATATATAAAAAAAAAAAGCAAATATGGTCCTGCTGGCTGAAATCCAATAACCCCCCTCCTGCCTCTCTTATTCTCAGGGTGAGGTGGTGGTGGATGGTGGGATGTAAAGGTAGAGCCAATGTGTTGTGTGCATGGGTGTGGAGTTGGTCACCTTAAAATTGGGGTGGGGGGGGTAAAGATAGCAAGTCATTTCTAGTAATTCAGATATAGCCTTCCTGGTTGCTGTCCACGGTTATTTCCTCTTTTTCTCTGATGATTCTTATACAGTGAAGGAAATAAGTATTTGATCCCCGGCTGATTTTGAATGTTTGCCCACTCACAAAGAAATGATCGGTCTAAAAATCGAATCCAGGCAGCTGGGTCCACAGTCACCAAGAAAACAATTGGATACAAATGGAGAAACAGAAAAAGGGCGCACCGACCTAGTGCATTATCGTTTAAAATAATTTATTAAAGAAACAAAAATAGGTATCATACTCACAATGGATATAATAACACAGGCATGTCAAACTGAACAAGGTGTATGATCCAAACAACATCTGAGTCCATACGATGGAACCCTGGATGACCAACTGGCTAACGCAATTCGAGGACACAACCTCTTCCTCAGAGCCAACACTACAGGAGTCTGCACTTCTCTTTATAGAAGTTACTAAATGGTAACAAAAGGGCTGTATCAGAACCACCTGAAGGCGGAGCCTGACATCACATGACCCGTTAGCATCAAAATAGACAGGAAAAAAAAAAAAAAAAAAAAAAACTTTTTATAATAGTATATATATAATAATTAATCATTCAGGGTTCCATCGTATGGACTCAGATGTTGTTTGGATCATACACCTTGTTCAGTTTGACATGCCTGTGTTAATATGTCCATTGTGAGTATGATACCTATTTTTGTTTCTTTAATAAATTATTTTAAACAATAATGCACTGGGTCGGTGCACCCTTTTTCTGTTTCTCCATTTGTATCCAGTGTATTCGGACCACCCCGGTCTGTTGAAGGCAGCAAGCAGTGCATATTCCAGAACATTCCTATTGGGTCTACTGAGTCCTTTCCTAGCGCAGGAGTAAAGTGTTTGTTGTGTTTGATTTACCAAGAAAACAATTGGTAACACACTACGCCGACAAGGATTGAAATCCTGCAGTGCCGCAAGGTCCCTCTGCTCAAGAAAGCACATGTCCAGGCCGTCTGAAGTTTGCCACTGAACATCTGAATGATGCAGAGGGGGACTGGTGGAAAGTGTTGTGGTCAGATGAGACCAAAATCGAGCTCTTTGGCATCAACTCAACTCGCCGTGTTTGGAGGAGGAGGAAAGCTGCCTATGACCCCAAGAACACCATCCTAACTGTGATACATGGTGGTGGAAACATTCTGCTTTGGGGGTGTTTTTCTGCTAAGAGGACAGGACAACTGCACCACATCAAAGGGACGATGGACGGGGCAATGTACCATCAAATCTTGGGTGAGAAACTTCTTCCCTCAGCAAGGGACATTAAAAATGGGTCGTGGATGGGTGTTCCAGCATGACAATGACCCAAAACACCTACCATTCGATTTGTAGACTGATCATTTTTGTGAGTGGGCAAACATTGAAAATCACCCGGGGATCAAATACTTATTTCCTTCACTGTATGTATTGCACGATATGGTAGAAACAGCCATATGCAATTGTCCAGCATATCCACTTATATACCAGATGCTATGTTCAGTATTTGGAATGTGAAGTGTACTTTCCTTTTTCTTTCTATACATACTATGTCTTTTTGTAATTTTTCTTTTTCTTTGTATCTTTGCAAAAATCTGATTAATAAAAAAATACCGGATTAAAAAAAAACAAAAAAAAACACCAAAAAAAAAAAAAACAAACAAACACTAAGGCTATTTTTACAAGGTAATATCTGGGTTTGCAAAGGTAATTGGTGCAAAGTAGATTTATATCCTGTGTGGCTTTGAGGATTAAATAGGTCTGTGCCCAGAACCTACCTTTCAAAGTACACCCACTCCTAAGCAATGCAAGGATTTTACTCTTAACTTGGACATTTTGAGTAAAATTGTAACTGAAATTTTAGCTATCAACTGCACTTACCACCCTTCCAGGCCTGCACCTCTCCCTAACCCCCAGCAAGCCACTCCTCTGTCATTTCCTTCCTCCTAATCTTTAGTCCCCTCTGCCCCCCCCCCCCCCCTCCTCCATGATCCCACCTGAACCTTTCCCCCCCCCCCCCACAGCTATCAATGCCCATTTATACAGAGACCATTTCCTTTGTAACCAATGCCCTGTTAGGATGGTGACAATTACATTATTAAACATGGGCACACTACCTTCTTAAAAACCAATCTGATTGACATCTGATAATTAGTGGAGAGACCAGGTGAAATTTAGCAGCATCAGCCTGCATCAGTCAACTTGATTATAACTGACTAAATTTGCATACCCAAATAATTTGATCGGATTTCATAAATATACAGAAGGCTTTTATTTATTACACTGTTTTATTAAGGGCACTTTTTTAATATTGTAACTGTATGTGACAATTACAGTATTAAACAGAGACACATACAAAGGCCATATTCAGGCTGAAGGCTTAATTTGTGAAATTAAGTCTCCAGCCTGGATGTGACTATCATCTTCTGGTTCAGATATTTTTATTATTTAGATTAACAAAATGGCATATAGAGAGTATGCAGTTAAGATTAGGGACTGTCTCCATGTGATTGATATCATATCTGACAGTGATACATAATTAGGAACCACTCTGAGTGGTTCTTGATCATTCGTGGGGACAAGGCCAAAATGTCAGAGTATCCGCTTGCTAACGCTAGACCAATTTTTTTTTTTTTTTTAGATTTTTTTTTTTAAAAGCCTTTATTTGGTATACATGGGCAGCACAGTCGCTGAGTGGTTAGCACTTTCATCTAGCAGCACTAGGGTTGTCGGTTTGTATCCCAACCACGGCACTACCTGCCTGGAGTTTGCATGTTCTCCTTGTGGCTGCATTGGTTTCCTCCCACATTCCAAAGACATGCTGGTAGGTTAATTGGCTCCTGTCTAAATTGTCCCTGGGATAAGTATGAATGAGAGTTGGAGACTTTAGATTGTTCGTTTCATGGGAGCAGCGACTGATGTGAATGTATGATATATATTCAAAGCACTGCATAAATTGATGGTGCTATATAAGTACCTGTAATAAATACTAAATAAATAAGAAAACTTTTTTTATACTGCAACTGTATGCGACAGATACATTATTAAACAGAAGTACACAGCTATGTTCAGGCTGAAGGCTTGTTTGTGAATGAAGCTACCAGCATGTGTGTGATTACTATCTCAGCTGACATAGTGATACACAATGAAGAACCGTTCTGAGTGGTTCTTGATCATTTATGGGGACCAGGTCAAATGTAACGAAATCGGCATTAATTGGCTAACTTGATTAAAAACCTTGACAATTTGCATACCTAAATTTGGCAAAATTTTAAAAAAGATAGGACTTTATTTGTTATACTCTTTAATAAAAGCACTTTATTTTTTAGTTCTGTATGCAGTAATTATTGTATGTGACAGATACATTATAAGGCTAGGTTCACATATGTGCGGGTGGTGCGGCTACGGATCCGCACGAAAATCCGTACAGCCGCACCACCCCGCACAGAATAATGCGGACCCGCGGGCGGGTGGAATTAGTTCTAATGGCTTGCCGCCCGCACTGGAAAACGCAACTGTACTGGGAACCGAGGTTCACGTTTGCGGGTTACGTTTTCAAATGAATGGGCTTTCGTGCCTGCGCAAAACGCGGCCTGCACGGCCGCATATATGTGAACCGGGGATTAAAGAGAAGTATATGACCATCTTCAGGCCGAAGGCTTGTTTTGTGAACGAGGCCTCCAGCCTGCATGTGATCACTATCTTGCCTGACATTGTGATACATAATTAGGAATCACTCGGAGTTGTTCATGATCATTAGTGGGGATTTGGGCGGTCAGTATCAGGAGGAGAGGATGCAGATGAATGTACCCTCAGCATGGGTCATCGTGCAGGAAAATGATATTCTATATTCTGCGGTATGGAAGCTGGTAAGACTGATTAACAAGGTGCGCAATGGGCAGGATGGAGTGCTAGAGCTCAGAATGAGAGCTGAGGGTTTTTGGTTTACAAATGGAGTCCCTCAGGCGCTTAGATCATCATTTATGAAGGGCTCTATGCTTTCAACTCATCATGTTGGCTTTGCACTTTTAACTACATAGCAAAGTAAATTCAAATGAGTTTTTTGGCTTTCAAAAAATTGCATTGTTCAACAGGGAAATGCACACTGGGAACCCCCCACTGATAACTACTTTGCGTAGCAGCTCTGGGGCTCACACCACTTGGGGGATCCCCAGCATGGAACAGCCTGTCCTTGGAAGCCCACTGAAGTTTTTTTTTTTTTTTTTAAATCCCTCATCTGGTTGGGTTGTGGGAGGAAAACCTCTTTAACTGATGGATATGACATGCGGAGGTGCAGCTGTCTTGAGCTGTCACTTATCGGTGATTCAACTGGCAACAAAGGGAGAAAACGAGTACACAAACGTCAGATTATTCCACGATGGGAGAAGTAGATTCTATGTGCTCCACGTTCTCGAGTCGCTAAGTGCTGAATAGTCTGACATTTTTTTTCTTCCATCAATAATTCTTTCTTCTGTGAACAAAAAGGTTTTCCGTTCTCTTAATCTTCGTGTCGTTACGTCTCGGCTTAATTACATCTACGCTTATTACTATGACAACCGTTTTCAGGACTTATGGCTCTTCCTTGCTAGAAGCCTTCTCTCTTACTGATCAAAACACTCAATCAGCATTTGAATTTATGCAGCAGGATCCCAACAGTGATCCCAAGACCAGACAAAGCAAGCAAAGGAAGAAGGAGACCTATCCATTAGTGCTGGGACATGGTCCTTTAATATCCAAGGCAAAAGGCTTCCTTTGCCCTTCCTATGAGCTGTGAACTACTCCAGCATGCATAGGTTGGTTGAAGGTCCTACCATTTTTGCAGCCACCATCTTGCTGAAGCACCCAAGGAGGCAACCTTTTTGGCCTAACCCTCTGGCCCCAACCCTGTGTCTTACTGATTAGAATTTATGCAGCAGGAGCTTTGTGTAAGCAATTGTGCAAATGGAAATAACAGAGGACACAGATAATATAACAGTGATCCCAAGACCAGACAAAGCAAGCAAAGGAAGAAGATTAAGGAGACCTATCCATCAGTACTGGGACATGGTCCTTTAATATCCAAGGCAAAAGGCCTCCTTTCCCCTTCCTATGAGCTGTGAACTACTTCAGCATGCATAGGTTGGTGGAAGGTCCTGCCATTTTTGCAGCCACCATCTTGCTGAAGCACCCAAGGAGGCAACCTTTTTGGCCTAACCCTTTAGCCCCAACCCTATATCTTACTAATTAGAAATTATGTAACAGGAGCTTGTGTGTTCTTATATGTAGATGGAACTGGAAATATCTGAGGACACAGAGCATCCCAAGGAGGAAGGACGGTTGAGACCTCGAAACGTGTTAGCCTGTTCAAAGTCCAGGGCAGTGTTTCTCAACCTTTTTTCAGTCAAGGTATCCTTTAAAAATGATGGATAATCTCAAGGCACCCTTCAAAATTCTGCACAATCTCAAGGCACCCCAATCTAAAATGTAAAAAAATATTCTACACACATCCAGTACACCCAACGTTAGAGGCGATTTATTCTTCCAAAGCAAATACACCTTTGCACACTGGTACCGCCTAGTATTCCAGTGTGTCTCTCTCATTTTCTCACCCTCACTCTGCTAATGTGACCCCAGTGCTGATGGAGAGGGGCAAGGGAGGGCGATACAAGGATGACGTGCATGCACCCGATGTCCTCCTTATCAACTGATGTCACTGGTTGTTAGGATGCTGGCGGCTAGAAGGTTATAAAAGTGCACAATGAAAACCTGTGGCATTCTGTACTAAAAAGGCAGCATTGATCCACCTGTGGCTTGTATACAATTTTTGGCCATTTGCCAAGGCACCCCTGAAGAAGCCTGAAGGCACCACAGGGTGCCTGGGCACCCTGGTTGAGAGACTGGTCCAGGGTACCATTTTTTTGGACTTATATGCAATGTGGATTGGACACCGCTGTTTAGTGTGATGTGCCTTTGACCTGTTTGCCTGTTGTGAGTACGATACTTACTTTTTATCCTTCCAATACATTTTTTACGATAATGCACTAGGCCAGTGCGCCCTCGGTTTGTTTTTCTTTGTATACAGAGCATCCCAAGGTCAGACAAAAACAGAGAGAGAAGACCTGTCCATGCAGTGGTGGGACAACATCCTTAAGCATCTAAGGTAGAAGACCAAATTGCACCCCTTACCCTTCTCATCAACTGTACACTACATCTGCAACTTAAGTTGGTGGTCCTGCCATTTTTGCACCTCCCTTCCTGCCGAAGCCTCTGAGGAGGTCGCTTTCTTGGCTGACCCCACAACCCAACCCTGCATCCAGGCCATGGAACTTTGGAGCTCATAGTTTTAGCATTAGTATATTATTTGTATGTATGGCATTTATACAACTTTACTACACTATGAATATCCTTATATCAGACATTTTTTCCTGGGCCTTGAACCAACTCTAAAAATGGCAGATAAGAAAAAAAAAAAAAAAAAAAAAAAAAACAGAAAAGTTAAGCATTTTAAAAACATTTACTTGCAGGGTTTTCCTTTCCATAAATAATATTTTATTTACTTGCAATGCGCCTTTCAACTTGCTAGAACATTTGATTATTCCAGGAGAGTCAATTCTCTAGCACAGCCACCTCTCTCCTTGGATGCCATAGCCCTCTCCTCTTCTGATAGTTTCTAATTACATTCTGAGCTGGACAGGAGGGGCGGCGGGGGTGGCATTTACTAGAACCGATCAGCTGTATTTTCCTCCACTTGCAGCAGCTGAAAGCTAGATTCTCCTCCACTCCCTCCCACCAGCATTCAATTGCTGCAAGTGGAGGAAAATACAGAGGATCGGTTCTAGCAAATGCCACCTCCACAGCCCCTCCTGTGTAGGTTCTCTCTCGTTCAGATGCCCCCCATTCACACGCAGTGCTGCAGGCGTAACTTCTCTCCTCCCCACTGGTTGCTGTTGGGGATCTTTTCAGGATGCAGAGTGAGGAAAGGGGAAGGTAAACATGGCATTTACTGGCCCCTTCCTTTTCTGAATAAACACAGGGAGTTATCAGTACCAATCACTCACTGTGTTCATTCATACCTGAAGCACAGCAGCGATCTTTAATTTCTTTCATAGTAGATCTTCACCTCTCAAAGGTTGCCTACCCCTGTTTTACACTGTATCGCCGGGGAAAAGCACCTTCCATGTCACCCTGCTTAGGTAATTCAATAAACTCAGAGGGTTCAGGCAGGCCGGGTAGGGCCCACCCAGCCCTGTCCTGGGCACCTACCGGGACCGAACGCAGCACCCTTTACATGGTCTCATAGTTAAACAAGCACAACTGAAGCTATCAATCACCTGCTCTTTGCTGGAGGTGGGACCAGCCATCTCCTGGGATTGTCTGGTGTCGACATAGATTGTCAGCAGTGACTTGTACAGACAGCAGAAGAATTAAACAGGAGATAGAAATCATACTAGGAGCTTTGGATAGAGGCAAGTACACACTATGTAAGGTTGTGCTTTGTCCATTTTTCATTTCAGAGGTTTACAACCACTTTACGTTACCTCCAACTCTCAAGTGGAAGATAAAATAAAGCTAAACAAGGGGCCAAATTTAAACCTTTCCTAGGTGAGGGCACAGTTCTAATAATTCAAAAGTGAGCATTTAATTCTTGCATAGACCAAGTCATGACTAAAGGGATGCAGTTTCCTTCCACAATCCAAAAACATTTCATAGGTGAATGAACATCAAAGCCAGGGGAGTCAAACTCAATTTTATCGTGGGCTGCATTAGCATTATGGTTGCCCTCAAATGGCCAATTGTATCTGTAAGACTAGATGTCTAGAGCATCCCACCCTTTACATCAGATGTCTTGAGCCCCCCACCATCAGAAGTCAAGAGTTCCTTACATCACAGTGCACCTCCCTTACCTTGTGCTGCTGCAGGAAAGAAGCTGGGGATGGAGCTTTGAAGCAGAAGGTGCAGGGTCTGGACAAGGACCAGAGGAGGGCTGGAGTCAGCTGCCAGAGTTTGCTAAATGCTGAGACCAGGGGAGGCAGAGATGAGGGGGTACACAGAGAAGCACAGGATCTGTAGGAGGAGCTCTGTCCTCCTCTCTGCTACTGACTGCTGGGACAAGGCGGGGGCAGAGGGCCACATGAAATGGCCTGGTGGGCAGGATTCGGTCTGCAGGCCTTGTGTTTGACATATGTGATCTATGCAAACTGGCACTGTAATGTGTATAATGGTGCCGTGGCGAGTAAACAATAAGCTCCTCTCAGGCAAGACTGGCTCTGTACAATATGCCTATCACTGCACAACACATTACTCTCTAGTATGTGTTGATCTATGAAACATTTGCTTGCTCACCTCTTTGACTGGACATTCTTGAGATAATCGCTCTTGCAATTCTTTCTGGAGCTCTTTGCGGGTTCCAAGAGACTGCTGGACCCTCAGAAAGTCGGAGAGCTCCTTGAGGTCGGCATCAGTGAAATACTTGGCAAAATGCTCCACCGTCTGCCGATTGGCTGGGAACAGTTCCTGTAAGTAAATCAGAGGATTGTAATGCACAGATCAGCTTTGCTCCTTGTAGAATACAGTGTTCCCTGAAATCCGCTTCCCACATCAGGACGTAAGAGGAGATCTCTCAAAAAAAGGGGGGAAATTTTTAGACTAAGGTTTCTCAACCAGGACTCCATGGAACCCAGATTTTCCTCCAGAGGCTGCAAGAACTTCACCCAAAAGGAGTGTTTGCATCCTCCCCCATCCTCCGCCATATTGCACTTTTTTTTTTTTTTTTGAGGGGGGGGGGGGGTGGGGGGGGGTGGTGGGTACCTTGTTTCGACAGGTACCTTCTCCCGCTTCCAGGTCAGATCACTGCAGTGATCTGTAAGAAAGTTTGGCTACTCCATCATCCGCCCGCAGTCTTCTGGGACACATAGGTCCCAGAAGACTGTGGGACCAGTCACAAAGTGCAGAGCGGCTCGTGCAGTAGGAGACTGGCTGTGAAACCGGAAGGCTTCATTGGCGGTTTCCCCTAGCTAATATGCCGGTGCCTACACCCAAAGCCGATTGCAGAATTAGCTCAGGTGAGACCATCACTGGATCCCTGGATGGGTAAGTGTCCTTATATTAAAAGTCAGCAGCTTCAATATTTGTAGCTGCTGACTTACTTTTTTTTTGGGGGGGGGGGGGACTGGAGCTCCTTTTTAAAGTGGAGTTCCACCAGAACAAGTGTCCCCATTGGAAGATTGCACAAGAACAAGTGTCCCCATTGGAAGATTTCACAAGAACAAGTGTCCCCATTGGAAGATTTCACAAGAACAAGTGTCCCCATTGGAAGATTTCAGAAGAACAAGTGTCCCCATTGGAAGATTTCACAAGAACAAGTGTCCCCATTGGAAGATTTCACAAGAACAAGTGTCCCCATTGGAAGATTTCACAAGAACAAGTGTCCCCATTGGAAGATTTCACAAGAACAAGTGTCCCCATTGGAAGATTTCACAAGAACAAGTGTCCCCATTGGAAGATTTCACAAGAACAAGTGTCCCCATTGGAAGATTTCACAACAACAAGTGTCCCCATTGGAAGATTTCACAACAACAAGTGTCCCCATTGGAAGATTTCACAAGAACAAGTGTCCCCATTGGAAGATTTCACAAGAACAAGTGTCTCCATTGGAAGATTTCCCCTCACTTCTTGTTCCTCTAACTATAAGATTTTGCATTTCTCATTACTTCCAGTCTAAGACACAACGGTCACCGGAAGAATTAGTCAGGCAAAACTCCCCAGCGAGGACACAGCTTTACCTACACTTTTAGCCCCAGGTTACACCGATCCGACTTTGAAATCTAGCGACTTCACTGGAAGTCGCATGATTTCAAAGTCGGATGTCATTGCGACTTGCAAGACACAGATGTCTATGCAAGTCGCACCTGAAGCAGTGCATGCACTACTTTAGAAATCGGTACGGCTCCGACCAAGTCAGAATCGCACCGATGTGACTGCTTTAATTGCGGACAATAGGGTGCTACTTGCCATGCGATTTGAAACTTGAATGGTAAGTCGCACCGGTATGACCGGCCACTGAGTGCAAGAATAAGGCATTTTCTCATATTTAGTTTAGGTTTTGGTCTGATGGAGGGAGACACATGTTTAACAAAATACATTTGCAAGAAATTTAGGTCAAGGGTCAAAAATATCCCATGAACAATTTTCCAATGTGTATACGGGCATCTGGATGTTGGGGAACACAGGAATGATTTTCATGTCTCTACCCACTGTCCTGGAATGAGGAATAATCCTTGTATTTTGGTATATACCCTTTAGAATTAAGAGACATATGAATACCTTCAGTTTCTAAGGCGGCTTTACCGTGCTATGCGGTGACGAAGGGTTAAAAGCCAAAGGCAATATTGAAACAAATATAAAAATACATTTAATGCACAAATCCCTGCTGCATCATACACCCACCAGTAACCGCTTGTCCAGATTGGCTTTCCGTAAAGAGGACGTCACAGAGTTAGCATCTTTCTCGGACATCCATGCTTTAAAAAGTTTTACGGCGAAAGAGGCGGATATGCCTGCAAGATAAATCAGCCATATTGTTACCATTAGAACATGGTCAACTTCAGTGGCGTCCCCAGGGGGGTGCGGGCAGCATTGGGTGACACCATCACTGGGGGTGCAGGAGCAGGATGCCGGCACAGTGACAGTTGCCCTCGCCCCGCTGTAGCGGTAAAAAATGAGTATCCCCTGAAATAACTGCACATGTGCCGGTTTGAGACCGAAGAAGCCGATCGCCAGCTCTGTTCTAAAGTCGGAGATCGGCTGCTTCGGCCCGAAACTGGCACATGTTGCTTCAGGGGATACAGATCTTCAAGGGATACTCATTTTTCTGCTACATCGGCACCACTCCTTCCTCTCTGGAGTGGTGACGTCACGTGTTACCGCACCGGGTGACACCAACCCTAGGGACGCCTCTGGTCAACTTAAATGTATTTATTGATTTAAAATGCACCAGTGGATAAAGTATGGGCACTAAACTAACTACATGTGCTTTACAAATATACTTCCCACACAAGCTTGTCCTGATAAATCATGCAGCTATTAAGCAGAGTGATTTGCATTCATACATCTAGAGCAGGGGTCCCTAAACTTTCCAAAGGGCCAGTTTACGAACCTTCAGACTTAAAACAGAACTCCAGTTAATTTTTGTTTATACCAAGCAGTGGAGCTGTGGCCCCAACTGCATGTAACAGCTGCTCTTTTTTTCTAGGATTGAGGACTAAGCTCATACTCACCTGACCCACCAATCCTACAGAAAACTGTGCTCCCCCACAGTCTAGCGTTAGACTGTTCCAGTCTGTGGAGTGCTCAATGAGCATGCTGATCAGGAACAGTCCATTTACAAGACTGCTGGACCGAGCAGGGGGCGGGAGCTAAAAAGACTGGTCTTGTGTGGTGAGGATCGGCAGGTCATGTGAGTATATCTTTGGTGTCCTCTCCCCTACAACAAGACAAGCATTTAAGCCATGCAGTGCCAACACAACCCCACTGCATGGGCAAAAAAAAAAAAAAAAATTTCCAGCATTTTGCTTTAAAAGTGAGCCAGACTGTGGCCATTGGGAGTAGAACATTTCATGGACTTAGCGGGAGTGGGGTTCATGGAGGATCTAGCTTGAGAGCTCATGGGAGAGGTGCCTGGCTGGTATTGGATGGAGGCATCCAAGTATATGGAGATATTGTGAGTATAGGCCTGAGTGTGGGATCCTAGTGACTGTTCACTGCTCTAACCCTGCTCCTGTGTTGCTAAATTGGGACTGTTCCTATGCTTGGAGTCCCAGAGTTGCTTGTTCTCCTGTTTTCGGTCAAAATGGGAATTATCCTGAATTGTAGAGTTAAGGCAGAATGTGTCCTTTCCTACTTTCTGTATTAATGTTTGAATATTCCAAAGCTCACCCTACACCCCAATCAAGTTCAATGGATAATAAATCCCAAAAAGACATCCCTGCCTGGTCACTAAGTTGGGAGTCAGTCTGTGCTGCTGTGTGCCTGGCTGTCTTATACCCAAACAGGAAGAGAACCTGGGACAAATCTGCAGGGCCCGTCAGGGCGTTGTGCTACACATGATTGTATAACTGAAGTGAATATTTTTTGGAGCAAAAACAGCATGGCCTCAAAAAAACCCACTGCTTTATAAATGGTTGTCCATTATAGGTGCTACTCAGCCCCCGAATCCCACACAACAGGTATTGCTTTCTATGCAGGAAAGACTGTGGAGTTTACTAAAGCTGGAGTGTGTGAAATCAGACTCACTTTTGCACAGAAACCTATCAGCTTCCAGGTTTTATTGCCAAAGCTTAAAGCAAAGTTCCACCTGAAAAAAAAATAAAAATCAACAGCTACAAAAGCTGTAGCTGCTGACTTTTAAAATACAGCCACTTACCTGTCCCTCGGTCCAGCAGTGTCCTCACCACGGCTGATTTCACCGGCCGTCTTCTCTCAATGCGCCTGCATTTTTAGTGTGGGCACCCGGCTGTGACAGTTTGCAGCTTCACAGCCGGGTGCCCACTGCGCATGTGCAAGAAGTGCTGCGCTTTGTGAATGGCCCTGTAGTCTTCTGGGACCTGTCACGTGTCCCAAAAGACAACGGGGAGGGAGGACAACATCCGCTTCTGACTGCCTAGGCAAAATCAGGTACCTCCCCCCCCCCCACTCCCCAAAAGGTGCCAATCCTTAATGAGAAGCGTGGGACAAAGGCTTAAAGCAGAACTTCCCCTTTTGGGTGGAGCTCCGCTTTAACTGAACAAACTGAGGTTAGAAGCTGATTTGATTTTATGCAGAAGTGAGCCTGATTTTGCACTCTCCAGCTTTAGAAAATAAACCCCTGTATATTGAAGTGGAGAGCCCTGAAGCAGCTCTGCCACATTAAATCCGCTGACCTTTGGGATATTTGGTAGGGGGAGAGCCATCAATCAGCTAGAGGTGTGAGGCGGGATGGGTGCAATGGTTTTACACTTTCTGCTGGACAGCAGGAAACATCTTTATTAAAAAAAATAAATAATCACGAAATACCTTCTTTGACGATATTCTCGGAAAAGAGACTTGTGAGAATAGTGGCCGGGAGGGTTCCACCAGCCAATAAAATGCCAGTCAGCACAGCTAGCTTGGTCTGTTCGGTATCTGAAAACGCCTTGAGAAACAGTAGAAGCTGAAGTGGTGAAAAAAAATAAAAAGTATTCAAAGACCATCATCACAAGAAGATACTGCACACATGCTAGTAGGATGAAACAGGTTTCCCATTTTTACTAGTTATTGGTCTGTGAACACACATATTAGTAATTAATCATTTGGAATTTTAGAAAACAGCGATGTTCAATAGGCAGCCCTTGGAAAGGTATCAGGCTATTCCAATCTATTCTCCACTGAACAGAACTGGAGACATAGGACATGGGGCTTTTTGCTGTTCATTGCTGATGGTGTGAATGAGCCCTTAGCCTTGCACTGAAGGGAAAATATGTATTTGACACAAAAGGCACTTCTAGGATCATTCTGCAACTTGCTTCAAGTTCCTTCTATTGACTGAGAAGCACTTCAGACGTGAACAAAAGCCCATTGACACTGGTCCCAACCAACATTACTGACATTGCCCTGCCAACATGATGGCAGGTTCTTGTCAATTTTTTTTTTTCAAATGCTTTTTGTTGTAACAAATCAGAATAAATTGATCAAAAAATAGGTTATTGGTCTGGTTGTTCCAGTTAACGAAGGCAATGAAGGCAAGGCTATTTTTAGGTCAACAGTCCATATTTGTAATGTCCAATGTATCTCCACAATACTGGAGTCTTCTTGGTGTTATAGATTCCAATCATAGGCTTAGAACAATTTTGAGAGGACAAAAAGAAGCCCCTTGTAAGCTTGCTAGAGTTCAACTCTATTTGTTTATTGGCTAGGCAACGACAGAACAAATTTCTGTTAAGGTGTGGTGGTTGAGGTCAAGATAGTGAAATCCTATCAAAAGAAAAACATAACTTCTATTTTGGGTATATGGGCTCATATCATGAAAAAGAAGAGGAAGGAAAGAAGGGGAGTCACAGGGAGATGATGGGGACAAATAAAAAGGGGGAGGGGATGGAAAAGGTAGAGAGGTCAAGGGCAAGAACTGTTTAGTATAGGGGTGGGCTAGCTTAGGCTACATGTCATGTTTTACATGACTGTCATATTGACTGTCATATGCCTTTAAGAGTTTCTATATTTTTGTTTCTGCTCCTCCCTTTCCTTTGGTTTAGTTCATGCTGTATAGATATCCCGCCCCTTTTCCCAGTAATGCATTGCAGCTTCTAGCCTCACGGCATGGAGCAGGAAACATTATGATCTTTTGACCTATCGAATGTTCATTGTTGTAAAATTCTCTCAGTTTATGGAATAAACATCACAATATCTACAAGATGTCTTATCGATTGAGTCACTGACTGTGGTATCCAACTGAGGTTGAAGTTATCGCTATCTCATCACAACTGTGAGTTACAGAGATCACACTATCAGTGCTTAGTTTGGAGAGACAGAACACTACATATGGGACTTTGGAGGTGTCCTCACAAATCTAAAACACCAAAAAGATATAGTGCAAATTTCTTTGTAATTTAAATGAACTTACAAAATAGTCATTAAATCCTTAAAATGTGTGGTATGCGTGCCACTGAAGGCCAAAATAATATCATAGAGCAACATACTCCACAATAACTGTAATAATTAATTTACAGCCTACCACCATCCCCCACCCCCTACAGCATTGTAGTATCTCCCATTATCTTTCACGCTGATAGAGTCGGTGGGGGGGGGTCTGTCGGCAGATAACCAATGTGTTTTTTGGTTTTAAACCCCCACAACTTCAGCTGCTGTGAAACAATAATGGAATTTCCAATAGTAACCCAAACAAATGTAGACAGACATCAGCTGCAAAGCTCTAAGAAACCAGACTGAATAAGGATCCCAATTAAGGTGAATCAATCCCACCCCCTAAAAACTGGGCCTCCAACTGGAGGACCTTGTGATTCCCAATAATGGCCACATTTTTAAAGGGGATCACCAAAGGGGTGAAAAGAGCTCAGTAATGGATTCTGTTTAGGGGGAAAAAAAAAGGTCATTTGGAATGTCCAGCCCCTGCCTAACCTCTCCAGCCTATTTTACCTTCTTGATTTCGTCTTCAAAAGCTTTTTCCAGGTATTTATATCTCCTGATCAGTTTGCTGAAGACCTGCAGGCCATGGAAGAATAGACTTGTGAGTAAATACTGTAAGTCTGATGAAAACTAATTAAGCCGAGATAAAGCACATCATCTACACAAGAAGCCAGGATATTCTCCTAATTTGATAAAACAAGTAATATATTAAAACCACTTTAGGAAAGGATACAATAAAATCCATTACAGCTTCTATAACATTATGTAGTCAGTTTTAACCAGTTTAGCCTACAGGGCACTTATACCCCCTTCCTGCACAGGCCAATTTCCAGCTTTCAGCGCTGTCACACTCTGAATGACAATTGCGCAGTCATGCAACACTGCACCCATATGAAATGTTTATAATTTTTTTGTGACAGATAGAGCTTTATTTTTGGTGGTTATAAATCACCTCTGGGTTTTTTATTTTTTTTTAAACAAACCAAAAACCACTTAAAATTTTTAGAAAAAAAAACGTTTTTTCTTAGTTTTTGTTATAAAATTTTGTAAATAAGTGATTGTTCTCCTTCACTGATGTGCGCTAATGACGCTGTAGTGATGGGCACCGATAGGCTGCACGGATGGACACTGATAGGTAGCACTGATGGGCACTGAAAGGCAGCACTTATATATGGCACTGATAGGCAGGGGTTTTTGGGTTGGTGTGGGGTTTTTTTGTGTTTTTTTGGGGGGGGGGGGGGGGGGGGGGGGGGGGGGGGGGGGGGGGGGGGTTTTCACTGACACTGATAGGTGGCACTGACTGGCACTGATCGGCAGCACTGACGGCACTGATGCACACCGATTAGTGGCACTGATGCACACTGATAGGCGGCACTGACTGGCACTGATAGGTGGCACTGACTGGCATTGATAGGGGACACTGAAAGGCAGCTCTGATGGGCACTGGCAGGTGGCATGGATGAGCACTGACAGCTGGCACTGATGGACACTGACAGGTGGCACTGCTGGGGCTACACAGATCATAAGGGCACATTGATCATCAGTGTCCTGATGATCAGTGTACATGTCCCCTCTGAGGAATGCCGATTACTGGCTCTCCTCTGTCAGCGTGACAGCTTGCGAGGAGAGAAATGCCGATAACCGGCATTTCCCCGTTTACATGTGATCAGCTGTGATTGGACACAGCTGATCACATGACCGAGCTGACCTTTTTGGGTCTTTCCGTTGATCGGTGATCAGCTGTGTCCGAGGGACACAGCGCACCGCCAATCGCCACGCTGCACGCTCCCTGAGCCGCGCATGCACGGTTAGAATGGGACAACGTCATATGACGTCCTCCCAGAACGAGAGAACCGCCTTGCGCCCGTCATTGTACTATATGGCGGCCGGGAGGCGGTTAAAGACAAATTTTAGTGTGAATCATGTGCCTTGTTCTGTTTCATGCTTCCACTCCATTATAATGACAGTTGCAGGGTACATATGGGGCTCACACTGTATACCCAGGAAAGAGCTTTTCCACAATGAACATTTTTTTTTTTTAAAGAATCCAGCTATTTTGTTCCTTATATATGGTCAAAATAGGAGATCTTGTTTTACTTAACGGCTTCCAGTCCGCCCTATAGCAGAGATACTGCTACAGGGCGGCACGGGTGTGCAAAATCAAGTAGATATTTGTGATTTTGCAGTTCTGGGTGGGGGAGGGGGGGCACGTGAGCCCTACCCGCGTTGCTATTTGCAGCCTTGGCTGTCTATCTCCGGGGCCCAACCGGTGATTACTTGCAGGCACCCGGTGATCGGCAAATATTTCCAACGGGGGAGAGAACTATATGTAAACCATACAGTTCTCTCCCTGTCAGCTCCAGCACACTGCTTTGTATGGCTCTGCATAGCACAGTCATACAAAGCAGTGTACTTACAGTGGAAAGCACAGACACAGCACACAATGTGAAACAGCACACAGTTAATCCTTTGATCGCCTCAGATGTTAACCCCTTCCTGCCCAGTGCTATTAGTACAGTGTCAGTGCTTTAATTTAGCACCGATCACTGTATTGGTGTCACTGGGGATGTCAGTGACACCAAGTCAGTTCCCCCCAGTGTCAGAATGCCCACCGCAGTCCCGCTATAGGTAGCTGATCGCCGCCATTACTAGTGAAAAAATAAAAAAATCCCAGTATATATACGCCATTTGTAAACGCTATAACGTTCATGTAACCCAATTAATTTACATGTATTGGGATTTTTTTTTTTTTTAGCAAAGACATGGAGCAGAATACATTTTGCCCTAAATTTATGCCGAAATTTGATTTTTTTAAATTTTTTTTACTGTTTACGTTTAATAGCAAAAAGTCTAAAATATTGTTTTTGTGTTAAAATTGTCGATCTTTTTTTGTTTATAGCGCAAAAAATAAAAATGCACAGGCGATCAAATACCACAAGCTCTATTTGTCGGGGGAAAAAAAAGGACGTAAATTTCATTTGGGTGCAGCGTTGCATGGTCGCGCAATTGTCAGTTAAAGTAACGCAGCGCCATAAACGCAAAAAAATGGCCTGGTCAGGAAAGGGGGGGGGGGAATCCTCTGGAGGGCCAGGGGTTAAATGCTCTTGATACAAGAGTCACAGATCTGTTAGAATGGCCTACCTGGGCATAATTACGCATGGTCTCATAATCCTCATTGGCTCCAAAGACACAGTTATTGGTCACCTTGGTTTTGTCTGCATCATCTATGCGAGTGCCGCCTGGAGCTGAAAAAGGAAAAAATATATAATAATATTATTACCAGTAAATAAAAATAAAGGAAAACTTTTTATTCAGAGTACAGCATCAAATTAATGAAACTCCTGGGATATTGATCTGGTCAGGTAAGGTGCAGAGGGGTTTGTTAATGAAATTAATTTCATTAACAACCCCCAGGTGCACTAGATTGGCAAGAATGAGATGACCCCCAGAACAAGAATGGTTTTACAGGTGGAGGCCACTGAATTTTTTCCCTACTCATCTTTTCTGACTGTTTTTACTAGCTTTACATTTGTCTAGCGTCAGTGTCACTACTGGTAGCAGGAGGCCATACCTGGACCCTACAGAGGTTGCACAGGCAGTCCAACACAGTTTGGATACACAGAATATAACTGGATATAACATTTATAGGTAAAGTTGATCCAGGGAATATCAAATTGCCTCTCAGGGGATCAGGAAGGAATTTTTTCCCCTGCAGGAGCAAATTGGATCATGCTTTGCTGGGGTTTTTTGCCTTCCTCTGGAACAACTGTGGGTGTAGGATTGTAACTTTTTTTTTTGGTTGAACTGGATGGACTTTTTTCAGCCAGACTAATTATGCAACTCCTCCAGGATGGCACATCAATACATGTCATTGCCAGAAGGTTTGCTGTGGTTCCCAGCACAGTCTCAAGAGCATGGAGGAGATTCCAGGAGACAGGCAGTTACTCTAGGAGAGCTGCACAGGGCCATAGAAGGTTCTTAACCCATCAGCAGGACTGGTATCTGCTCATTTGTGCAAGGAGGAACAGGATGAGCCCTGCCAGAGCCCTACAAAATGACCTCCAGCAGACCACTGATGTGAATGTCTCTGACCAAACAATCAGAAACAGACTTCATGAGGGTGGCCTGAGGACCCGATGTCCTCTAGTGGGCCCTGTGTTCACTGCCGGCAACATAGAGCTCGATTGGCATTTGCCACTGAACACGAGAATTGGCAGGTCCGCCACTGGCGCCCTGTGCTTTTCACAGAGGAGAGCAGGTTCACCCTATTTCGGTTCATCTGACGCTGCCAGGTTGCACCTCAGACTGTCCAGGGACTCAGTGATGCCCTGGTCCAGATCTGGGGAAAATCCCCCCAGGACACCATCCATTGCCTCATTAGGAGCATGCTCCGACATTGTCAGGCATGCATACAAGCACATGGGGCCATACAAACTACTGAGGACCATTCTGAGTTACTGCAATGACATTTCAGCTAAAATGGACTCGCCTGCTGCATCATTGTTTCACTTTGATTTTCGGGGGGGTCTTTGAATTCAGTCCTCTGTAGGTCGATCATTTTCATTTCCATCAAACGATAGGACATCCTTACGTTCCTAACACATTACCCCGTCCATATCAGTATAGAGATCCAGCAGGAGATTTTGCTCCATTGAGATGTGTTTTCAAAGTGTTCCTTTAATTGTTTGGAGCAGTGTGTGTGTATATATATATATATATATATATATATATATATATATATATATATATATATATATATATATATATATATATATATATATATATATATATAGAGTGAAGGAAATAAGTATTTGATCCCCTGCTGATTTTGAAGGTTTGCCCACTCACAAAGAAATGATCGGTCTAAAAATGGAATGGTAGGTGTATTGTAACAGACAGAATAGCAACAAAAAAATTCAGAAGAAATGCATGTCTAATAAATTATGCACTGATTTGCATGTTCATGAGGGAAATAAGTATTTGATCCCCTTCACAAAACATGACTTAGTACTTGGTGGCAAATCCCTTGTTGGCAATCACAGAGGTCAGATGTTACCTGTAGTTGGCCACCAGGTTTGGTGGCTGATGTTTGGCAACTCGAACTTTCAGCTCCCTCCACAGATTTTCAATCGGATTAAGGCCTGGAGACTGGCTAGGCCACTCCAGGACCTTAATGTGCTTCTTCTTGAGCCACTCCTTTGTTGCCTTGGCTGTGTGTTTTGGGTCATTGTCATGCTGGAACACCCATCCACGACCCGTTTTCAATGCCCTGGCTGAGGGAAGAAGGTTCTCAGCCAAGATTTGATGGTACATTACCCCGTCGATAGTCCCTTTGATGCGGTGCAGTTGTCCTTTCACCTTAGCAGAAAAACACCCCCAAAGCAGAATGTTTCCACCACCATGTTTGACAGTTGGGATGGTGTTCTTGGGGTCATAGGCAGCATTCCTCCTCCTCCAAACATGGCGAGTTGAGTTGATGCCAAAGAGCTCGATTTTGGTCTCATCTGACCACAACACTTTCAACCAGTCCTCCTCTGCATCATTCAGATGTTCAGTGGCAAACTTCAGACGGCCTGGACATGTGCTTTCTTGAGCAGAGGGACCTTGCGGGCACTGCAGGATTTCAATCCTTGTCGGCGTAGTGTGTTACCAATTGTTTTCTTGGTGACTGTGGTCCCAGCTGCCTGGAGATCATTGACAAGATCCTCACGTGTAGCTCTGGGATGATTCCTCACTGTTCTCATGATCACTGACACTCCACAAGGTGAGATCTTGCATGGTGCACCAGACCTGGGGAGAGTGACAGTGGTTTTTGTGTTTCTACCATTTGTGAATGATTGCACCAACTGTTGTCACCTTCTCACCAAGCTGCTTGGTGATAGTTTGGTAGCCCAGTCCAGCCTTGTGTAGGTCTACAATCTTGTCCCTGAGATTAGCAGCACTCCCTATGTGACTGCTTCTAATCTCAGCTTGTTACCTGTATGAAATACACCTGGTAGCCAGATATCCTGCTGAATGATAGGGGATCAAATACTTATTTCATGAACATGCAAATCAGGGCATAATTTGTTAGACATGCATTTCTTTTGAATTTGTTGTTGCTATGCTGTCTCTCAGTGTTACAATACACCGAACCTTCGATTTTTAAACTGATCATTTCTTTGTGAGTGGGCAAATAATCAAAATCAGCAGGGGAGCAAATACGCATTTCCGTGTGTGTGTGTACAGTTGTGTTCAAAATAATAGCAGTCAGACATCACTAACCGGATCAATCAGTGTTTTTGGTAGAAATTATATTTCTACATGGCAAATAATTTACTAGCAGGTGTAGTAGAGTCATAGAAATCCAACAGACCCAACAGTCATGACATGCATGCTGCTGATTCTGTGTCATTGAATCACTAATTGAAAGGGGCGTGTTCAAAATAATAGCCGTGTGGAGTTCTATTAGTGAGGTCATTCATTCTTTGAAAAACAGGTGGCAATTATTGCCCTTATTTAAGGAAGGAAGGCAGCAAATGTTGTACATGCTGGTTACAGTGCATTTCTCTCTGAAATTCTGAGGAAAATGGGTCGTTCCAGACATTGTTCAGAAGAACAGCGTACCTTGATTAAAAAGTTGATTGGAGAGGGGAAAACATATAAAGAAGTGCAGAAAATGATCGGCTGCTCAGCTAAAATGATCGCAAATGCTTTAAAATGGCAACCAAAACCTGAAAGACGTGAAAGAAAGCGAAAAAACTACCATTGGAATGGATAGAAGAATAGCCAAAATGGCGCAGACTCAGCCAACAATCAGCTCCAGGAAGATGAAAGAAGGTGTAAAGTTCCCTGTGAGGACTGTTACAATTAGAAGACGCCTATGTGAAGCCAAGCTATCTGCAAGAAGCCCCCGCAAAGTCCCACTGTTGGAAAAAAGACGTGCTGAAGAGGTTACAATTTGCCAAAGAGCACATTGACTGGCCTAAAGAGAAATGGCGCCACATTTTGTGGAGTGATGAAAGGAAGATTGTTCTTTTTGGGTCTAGTGGCCGGAGACAGTTTGTCAGACGACCCCCAAACACTGAATTCAAGCCACAGTACACTGTGAAGACAGTGAAGCATGGTGGTGCAAGCATCATGATATGGGGATGTTTCTCATACTACAGTGTTGGGCCTATTTATCGCATACCAGGGATCATGGATCAGTTTGAATACATCAGAATACTTGAAGAGGTCATGCTGCCTTATGCTGAAGAGGAAATGCCCTTGAAATGGGTGTTCCAACAAGACAACGACCCCGAACACACCAGTAAACGTGCAACATCTTGGTTCCAGACCAACAAGATGGACGTTATGGAGTGGCCAGCCCCACCCCCGGATCTTAATCCAATAGAAAACTTGTGGGGTGACATCAAAAATGCCGTTTCTGAGGCAAAACCAAGAAATAGAGAAGAACTGTGGAATGTGGTCCAATCATCCTGGGCTGGAATACCTGATCACAGGGGCCAGAAGTTGGGTGACTCCATGCAACACAGATGTACAGCAGTTCTCAGAAACAGTGCGACTACAACCAAATATTCATGAAGTCATTCAAAGGAAAGCAAAATCTTCAAACATTTCTCAGTTTATATAGTGTATGTTTGAGTTTGTAAAGAAGAATACAAACACTGCGATTTTTTTGAACCGTCTAATATTCACCTTTCTTAAATTTTTTTTAGAGGAACAACACAAATTTGATCTATTTTTCTTCATGTTGTGATTTGGAATAGAATGTGTCGTGTTCTCAATGCATTTGTGTGGATGGAAATAAAAGCTATTAGAAGGATTTTCAGCTTTATTCAACACACTGCTATTATTTTGAACACAACTATATAAATATATATACACATATCTATCTATCTATACACACACATCTCACACATACATACACAGTTCGGTTCATGTATATTTGGACAAGCTACAGTTCTATAATGGATATGGGCTGAAAGCGCGCACTCTCGGGTGTGATATGAGGGTAGGTACACCCAAATTGGAGGAAGGGTTTAGGTATTACAGCTTATAAGAGTAGCCATCCCAAGCGACCAAAAGTAATTGAACAATTGAATGTAATCATAAATAAAATGTTCATTTTTAATATTTTGTTGGGAATCCTTTACGGGCAATAACTGCCTGAAGTCTGGAACCCATGGACATTACCAAAGACTGGGTTTCCTCTGGTTCATCCATCAGGTTCCTTCCTCCCCTGCCTTGGAGGGTCACTCTT